TTTAAGATTTTCCTTCTTACTTTTAAAATTTTAGTCCTTTGTTTGGAGCTCTCAGGAATAAGTCTTTGTATTATTTTGTTCTTTTCTTTTCCCCCAGGTAACAACGATTGAGATTTGAAACTACTTGACGTATTTCTACACTTCCAATACATATGTCCCGTCCTTGCTTTCACCCTTCCAAGTTCAAAGAATTACATTTCCTTTTCTGGATAATTTACCTTCATTCTTCCTCCCACTGACCTTCAAGATGCTATCAGTAGTAGTAGCTGGAACATAGTACATTTAAAGTGACTTGTTTTTGTTTTTCTCATCAGAGTCACAAAATGGCTTAGTATAGTTTAGATTCTTAAATGCCCAAGGGAATCCCTAAAAAGAATTTGCTTTTCCCATTTATTTTGAAAAACAAATGTCAAAAATTCTGAAGTAGGCTGTGGTTGCATGTGTTAGAGGTAATCAGTTTTGTCCCTAGTCAATAGAACTTCTGGAGAAACTAGAATTGAAATAAAAAATAATCATAACTAGAGACTTTTTTGGAATTGTTTATCAATGTTTTAAATGTCAACACCTACCACGATTGTTCCTATTTTCCAGGTTGGGTGCTTTTCAAATCAGCCAGTATTGTGTTGGGAGTGGGCAGAGAGACAATGTGACATCTATATTTATTTCAGAGAAATATTAAATTGAACATTTCTTGTGTGAGGATGAGAATGACAACTTCCAAGCGCCTTACATACTCGGCAGGAAACCCGAAGTTATTATCCCTATTTTAAAGAAGAAATTATGGGTATTTGAGAGGAAGCTAAAGTAGATGGGTCCTTGTTTTTCAACAGGTTTATTTTAATTCCTCTCAACTAAATCCATTATACATCCACGACTCTTGAACCAAGGCACACCGAGAGGGACAGCACAGTGACTTTCCAAGGCACCAACTCCCGGAGGTTAAGGATTTGCTTCCAACTTGCCGAATTACTTAATGACATATTGTAGAAGTCTCATCCATAGATTTATATATTCAACAGGCAAAAAGTTCATTGTTATTTGTCTACAAACTGATCAGCATTTTTATCAAGGTCTTAAATGAATATATAAAATGAAGACTGATCAAATTTAGGAATGACACAAATCTAATATTTTTGATGAAAGGACATAAAATTATCAGATCAGAATCAAAGTGTAAATCAAAACAAAGAAAAGGAAATGTAATAGGGTACATCTAAAATTTGACATGTCCATTAAAAAAATAAATAGGGTTTGGGGACACCTATGTTTATGACAGTTAGTGGGAAAAAAGTGCTGAGCATTTGAGGAGACTTTACTGTTAAGTTGAGTGTGAAAGGATATAATGGTCTCATTTTACTCTGCAGTGACCAGATAAATATTTGGAATATTGTGACCAATTGTGGGAGCCATGCATGGGACTTTGACATCTGGAGAGATGTCCATTTTAACCTAGCAGGATGTGTGGCATTTTTCAGACATGTCCTGTGTGGGGAGAGGGGTTAAAGCAGTTGGCATCATCCAAGCAGGAGGAGAGACAGCTTATGAAGCCGTGATTGGTTCCTTCAGATAACTGAAGGTCTTTCAAATGGGAGAGGAATCAACTCTCTCTTGATTCATGAGGCACAATCTAGAACACACGGGCAGAAGCTACAGGGAAGTAGATTTTAACTCAAATCTAAGAAAGAAATGTATAACTATTGCAGTTGTTCAGCAATGAAATAGGCTGCTTCACAGCCTGGTGAACTTCCTGTCACTCGGTGTGAAGGGCTGAGATGCTGAGATGCCCACAAAAGGGACTTTTGGGATGAGTGGGAAGTTGGACTACCTTGAAGATTCTTTCCAACTCTATGATTCTTTTTTTTAAAATTAACTCAAGATTAATGCAATTTAAGGAGTTATATTTTATATATCTTTTATGAAATCCAATTTGCTTTCTGGGAGATTACTTCATGCCTACTCATGTTTTCAAATTTCAGCTATATTTTCCCATGAAAATTTTGAAAATGTTCGCAAGACTTAGTATTTAGTGGTATCAGTAAATTTACGTAGCGACTGTCTGTAAGTCCCTTTGACATTTATGTACTGTCAAATTGCTTCATTTCCATTCTCAGCAAGATTAGAGCAGTCTCTTTCTCCATCCTCAGAGCCAGGATTTGTTTCGTTATTCTAAAGTTTAATAAAAAACATATACATTTCCAATGCACATCTTCTTGGCTCTCTGTGAATCTTATTGGGGATATAAATCAGGAAATAGTAAAAAATGAATCATCTTCAAGAATAGTGGGCTAGCAAACTCTTCTAATTAATCCTTTGGAGACCCTGGATATACATATCCACCAGCTTCGTCCTGCCTCATCCTAGACACCCTCAGTGCTCCCACCGCTTTCTTTGCTGCCAACACAAGGTATATCAGCCCTTGAAATTGAACATCTTCAATTTCTCATAGTGGAGAAGTTCCAGTATGGTTTTCTCCATCTAATTCTCCACAATTATGTTCAAAAATCTATATATTGATGATGTCTATATTTCTGCAGGTTTTGGAATCAGTCTAACTTTGGAATAGGACTTGGGATTGATAGCAGCTGTCTTTATCACATTTTCTTTTGAGGCAACTGGAGACCCACAGGACTCAGTTGAAACACACCTTAGAGTAATGGGGTGCAATATATGGTAGGCTGTCAGGCTCGGTAAATGAGCAGCTCTAGGAAACTTGTGGTGTCTGTTTTCTGACTGTGGCTTAGCGGAACATTCTTAATCCTGAACCTAGGATCTAGGCTGATTCATATAAAAGATGGTAGAAAGATCTTCTTAACAAAGGCCATTTGCAAGCCTGGTTGAACTTAGCACCTCTGTAAGGGGGTGTGTTAATTGGTGAAAGGGCTGTGTCTGCAGGAATGGGAGTGCTAAACAAACAGTTACCTGGCTTTCTGGGGCACCAGAAGTCATCAGCAAGGCATCATTGTTCAAAATGAGAGTCAGGAATTATAATCCTATTGTTGTCCTTGGTTGGTGCTTGTGTTGGGGGAGGTTTACCTTAGCATGTAGACCCCTGGACCAGAAAGGAAAATGATGATGTCTGCCTGTTTTAGTGGCCCAGCTTTGCCCACTGGCAAATACTCATTACAAGTTATAACTGCTAAAGGTGTCGATGTGGTTACATGGACTTAAAGAGAGAAACGCTTAAGCGTATATTTAACAAGAAAGTATGAAATGTAATCAGAATTTTTATTGCCCTTGAATTTCATAATATATACAGATTTTCTTTTTGTCCTTATTCTTATACATATAACTGTGTTCTATCACTGGCAGTAAGTATTTGTAGAGAGGGAATATGTTATCTCACCATCTCTCTTTTTCTCTCAATAGTCTGTAAACACACACACACACACACACACACACACACACACACACACACCTGACTTCAACAACCGATGTTGTCTTAGATGAGGCTGAGCATTAGTTACTGTTTCCAGCATTCCACTATCTTCTGGGGCTGCTCTCTCTGCCACCCCCCAAGAGAAAGATGTAATTATTAATCAGATTTTATGGGAAATGAAAAAAGACTGTCTAGCCTAGCACTGTCCAATAGAACTTTCTGCAATTATGACAATGCTCTCTACCTGCGCTGTCCAATACAGTAGCCACTGGCCGTACAAAGCTATTGTGCACTTGAACTGTGGCTAGTGTGACTGAGGAATGGAATTTTTAATTTAAATTAATTTAAATATAAGTAGGCATATGTGACTAGTGGCTACCATATTGGACAGCACAGCAATTGCCAAAGAAATCAGAGCATCAGAAAAGGTGATAAGTAAATGCACTAATCAGTGGGATTCCCCATTCTAAATGCCTCTTTTCTATATGGAGCCAAATGGTACTTAGAAGTAATGCATTTTTGATAGATATTAAGATGAGGAAAAAGATGAGGAAAAAATCAACATCGACCTAAAGCATTTATAATAATAATAGAGATCATTCTCTATTCTATGCTAGCTGCTTTCCATATCTGCTTAACAGATATATCATCTATTATTTTCACAAGTGTTCCAAGTTAGATAATAATTTTTTTCATTTCGTGTAAGAGGGGAAACTGAGGCACACCAATTTAAAATAATAAACCAAGGTTACACCGTAAATGGTGGAGCCAAGGTTTGAACCCGTTAGGTTCTTCATTGATGCATCTCACAATGGAAATTTCCCACATCGTCTTGTAGAGCACACACACATATTTCCCTAGTCTTCTTTGGGAAATAGAGTGGAGGTTAAGAACATGAGCCCTGGCACCACACTGCCTGATTTGAATCCTGCCTCTGCTATTTATCGCCTGTGTGAAATTGAGCACATTACTTAATATCTCTGAGCCTAAATTTTCTTCTTTTAATATGGAAACAATAACAGTACCCACCTCATAGGTTGTTATGAGGGTTAGATTAGTTAATAGTTCCTGGCACATTGTTTGAACCATATGTATTTTCCATCATCATTATTTTTCATTTGAAAGAGACTACCATTTATGTTAGATGTTGAATTAATGTGATATTAATAGATAAATAGAGACGTACTTTGTGTGTGCTTCCATAGAAAATAAGAAAGACTCTAATAATTCAGATAATTCAGTAAGAAATCCCCTGCTGTTCAGCCACTTTGGTGTCTCCATCACTGGAATTATAAACCTGTAGATCCCACATGCCCTGGCCAGTTCCTCATATCTTTGCTTTTCATGTTACCCTTATAGACGTCTCCTTTGGTGTCTTTGATTGTTCTGAATCCTGAGCAGTGACAAACATCAACACAGCTGGAAAGAGCTGTAAGATTTGCTGTTCTGTCTTCCAGCAGGGAATTATTGCCATGGATACCAGCGTCAGAGAAGACTGGGGAGCACTCTCAACTTGTCTCCTGAGTGGTCTGACATCTGTTTCTGGCAAGGCCAATAATGAGCATGCTGCTAGCTTCATATTAAATGGGAGACTGATCCACACCTCTTTTGTTTTTCACCACAGATGGCCTCTGCCCAAGATGCCAGGTATGGCCAGAAAGACTCCTCTGATCAGAATTTTGACTACATGTTCAAATTGCTCATCATTGGCAATAGCAGTGTGGGGAAAACATCTTTTCTGTTCCGTTATGCGGATGACTCCTTTACATCTGCATTCGTCAGCACAGTTGGGATCGATTTCAAAGTAAAAACCGTATTCAAAAATGAAAAGAGAATCAAGCTTCAGATTTGGGTAAGTGACTTTGAACTAACAGTGTTCTTTAGTCTAAGGCATTGAACATAAATGTGTAAAGGAAAAGTTTTCTGCCATGTTCTGTCCCCATGGGGTCTACAAGCCTCCATTTCTAGGTTCTTTGCTGCAGAACATTCTGTTTCAAGGACAGTAGAGTGATGCTTACGGTATGGAGACTGAATCATGCCTTGTCGAGTGATCCTCCTTTAGAGTCTTCAGAAGAAAGAAAATCCAAATATCTGTTGTGTTGGTGGTAGAAGGAATACTCAACGAGAAGTCTGGCTCTACCTGTTATGATCTGTATGACCTTGAGCAAGTCCATGAATCCTTCTATGCCACTTTTCTAATCCACAGAATAGCAAAGTGGATCTAGCGTTTGAGGTCACAAGAAGCAGCCTGCCTTGGGAGTTTGAAAGAAGGTAAACAACCGAATACAGAGATAGCTTAGGGCCAGTCTCTTCGTAAAGCCCCAGATATAACTTTGAACGTGGTCTATTTATACTTCACAGACTTTGTGTTCTCAACTCTAAGAGTTATGTTTATCCACACGGTCAAACAAAACAAAACAAATGAAAAAACAAAATATTTATTTTAAACAGGGCTTTCCTCTAAGCAGAAAGTTCTCCAATATGTTTTGAGACCATTTGGCTAGCTTTCTGCCGCTTCCCACCCCCTGCAGAAGATCAGATTCCTTAACTAAATTGTCAGGATCAATTTAAGAGATTAACAAGTGAGAAACAGAAGAAAAATGTGTGTGGGTAACAGGTTCAAGGTAATATCAGAAACGGAGTAACCAACAAAGTGGTTACACCAAGAGATAATTATGTAGTAGGCATTTTATGTACAGCATATAATGTACGGGCACAAATGTTTTTACAGTTAGTTTTGGCCCCTTTTCCTGTTCATTTGTACCTCTGCCACTCAAATTGATTTGAGCTATAAACAGGCATTCCCAAGAGGTGAGGTTTCTAGCTTCTTCTGGGACAATTCCAATACCTACTACCATTTGGTACTGGTGCCAGGGTTGACCTGTAGGACCAATGATAAGCCTCCCTCCTCAGATATGGAAAGTTGAAAGAAAGACAAATCCTAGAGTAAGCATTTAAACTTTTTTTTTTAAATAAAAGAGCCCTTTATTAAAATATCTATATAAACTGGGTGACCTTTAAATATCTTAAAACTCTTAGGAGTAAAATTCAAAGATGCAGGTATATACACAGAGAGGTATCCTCTTAGGTGGCTTCCTATAGATTGTTACTGTTTTACTTATTCTAACTCTGGAATCTTCCAAGTCTAATTAGTACTCAAGTAAGAACTTGGAAAAGTAGGCACAGTCCCCTTCAATGCTCTACCAGTCCCCAAAGCCATTTTTGTTGGGAGGTCCCCTCTTTAGGGACTTAGACACATAACCGTGTTTATGGAGACAGAAAGAGCTATGTTCATTGCATCACATTTGGGCCCTGGTTCATTCTCTTCCTTTTGAGCTTTAGGCAACCAGCTATCATATTGAGATAACTTTCACATTCAGGCTTAAGAAGGGTCCCTTAACTCTCAGGGGCTTTGCTGAATTGAAAATTAAATTAATTTGATAACTATACATCTCTTAACTCTAGGACCATGTTCTTTCTGCTAATATGAGAGAACAATCATTCCTCTGGCTGACAGCTCCTAGTTTCTCCTCCCTGATCTATATTTTAGAGATGTTTAAAGATGGTTGTGATCATTTAGGTAAAACACCAATATAGTGTATTCATTCAATCCCATAATCTCTAGCAACTTCTCAATCTAGGTTTTTGACAGAAATGCTTTGTAGAGGTACAAAATCATCTGTCCTTAATGTAAAACAGATTCAAATAATATAAATTATTTTTCTGAGAATTGTAAAGTATTCTATACTTAAAAAATATTTTCTTCAAAACACTCAATGCTAGTACCGGGCCAGAGCTAATTTACTTACCTTTCTTGGGCATTGCAGTTAAGTTATGTCTGTGCAGGTCTTACTTCTGAATGAAAGTTGCTCTTTCATTGTGAGCCAACGAAAGCCCAACTCAAATCTCTGAGCTGCCTCTACTCCTGCTTCCTAGTGTCCATAACTTCACTCAAAAGCCTCTGACATCTAATTCTGTTTGCATTTGTCTCTAATCTTCCATAACCCACCATTTTTCCAAAATCTCCAACTCTTCTCACCCTAGTCCATCCCCGGACCTCATTCTAGGGCTTCCATTCTCCCATTCTGTGGATACCCACACACCCTTCAGGGTTCAGCCACTCAGGAACCCTTCACTTTGCCCTCTCCTCAGTCTCAACAGTAGTTTGATGGCCACTATTATCTTTGCAATTAAAACAACCTCATTTCTTCCGCTTTAGGGACATTAGGAGCTCTTAATACACCTATGATTCTAGGGTGTGAAAGTGGGTTTTACACTACTGTATACCAACTGGTCTAGTGGATTGTTAAACAGTCAAAAGATGTACTATGCAAGATTGAATTTGCCGTATAGTTCAAAAGAGAACTTAATACTCATGAAGTAATTATATACTTCTACAAGCAAATACCAAGTTGTATAAATATTATACGTAGCTGGCATTTATTGAACAGATACCTATGCCAGGCACTATCTATGCCTTGTCTCTAATTCCCACAACAACCAACCTTTGCATTTATCATTATTCCTATTTTACTGAAGAGATCTGGAGGTGGACAAGTTAAATAGCTTGTCCAGGACCATACATGATGAGTGGCTGATTCCAGGCTAGATCTATGATGCTCTCATGCTTGGGCTTGTTCTCATTCTCCATGCTGCCATAATTAGGAAGCATTCTTGAATATGTGGTGTTTTTGTGAAGATGGCAGTCTTAGACCATGTATCCTGGGATGTTAAAGAAAATGTTTTTGAAAGAGTTTGACCATCTCAATAAATTGAGGCATGCAGGGGAAGACATGATAAAGAGTAACAGGGTGGTTTGCCTAAGTATAGGCATTCCTACAATAGTTCTAGAGATCCTGGCTTTATGCTATAATGTAAGTATACTGGAAAATACTTAGTTGTGTACAGTTCTTATTATTTAATGGTTTCAACAAATCATTTGTTTGGGAATATATTTGGCGCTGATGGTTTGTCATCTCATTGCATTTTAATAACCAAACAATTACCTGTTTTTACCAGCTTATAGTATTTTTATGCATTTATATTAATATTAATTAATATTAATTCATGAAGGAGTCCACAATTATCTTAGTCTATACTATGAGCTGTTTCTACTCACAATGCTTCTGACACCAAATGTGTGGGTTTTCCTGAGCAAACAATTCTTCATTTCTGTGTGGACACAAACTTGGTGTCCTACAATTTAGTTCAATTCTGACACTGATTACCTGGAGTTAGCACAGATCCCACAGATAAAGCGCTCAGTTCCACAAGACTGCGCCCCACCCCCCCCAACCCCGCCGCCAAATCACTTCAGACACCAATCGCAAGTCTGGGCCACCTGTACTTCTGACCTACAGGCTGTAAATTGGCAAGTCCCAAAATCCCCCACCCCCACCCCCACCCCCAGTGTTGATAATTTCCTAGAATAACTCACAGAACTCAGGAAAATGGTTTATTTACTATTACTGGTTTATTATAAAGGATACAATTTGGGAACAGCCAAATAGAAGAGAAGCACAGGGTAGTTTTTGGGGGAGGGTGGGTGCCGCTTCTATGCCATCTCTGGGCATGTCACCCTCCCAGCACCTTGATATCTTCACCAACCCAGAAGCTGTCCGAACCTCCAAACCTCATGTGTGGAGCTTCCTTTGCATAGGTGTGATTGATTAAGTCATTGGCCATTGGTGATTGAATTCCATCTCTGGCACCTCTCCCCTCCCAGAGGTCAGGGGGATGGGACTGAAAGTTGGAACCCTTTGATCACATGGCTTGTTCTTCTGACAACCAGCCCTCATTCTGAAGCTATCCAGGGGCTCACCAAGAGTCACCTCATTATGTAAACTCTGGTATGATTGAAAGGGGCTTATTATGAATAACAAAAGATGTTCCTTTCACCCCATCACTCAGGAAATTCCAAGGGTTTTAGAAGCTCTATGCCAGGAACCAGGAGGAAGATCAGATATGTATTTCTTATTCTATTACAATATCACAGCCTATTATATATTTCAAAGGAAGAGAAGCAAAATGGTTTCATAGTAATGAAAACCATCATGCATTTGTCCGGTGCATTATTACCTTACCAATATGGGCTGCAGATATTAACATGATTCTGATCACTCTATTAATTTTAAACTGCCCATAAATAGAACTGTTTCCAGGTTAGGAAAACAAGAAGTAGAGAGGTTAAGTGATTTGACCTTACCTTACAGTTAGTGCCAGAGCAGAGTCTAAAACGCAGGTCTCCTGCCAGGTGGGCCGATCTGCTACTGCACCAAGTTCACTTTCATGGTAAGTGCAGTACTATGACAATTGTGATAAATCTCATACCTGGCTGCCAGTGGAATCCATCAGGCATAGGAACACCAAACGTGAGGCGAGATTTCAAGTAATATTTCTAATATATCAGGAGAGGAGACTCCTGTTTTCTCCTTATGGCTTGCTTTCTGCATGTGTGTGTAGGGGTTTTCTGAGTCCACAAGCTTGGTTACCAAATTTTCAACAGTCTACATTCAAATAAAGCATTTTAATGGCCACTAGAAACATTGACATTTCTTCCCAAACATGTTACACCTCCTCTCTGTGGAAGTTGGTTACTACCTCAGAATAAACTTGTTTAGAGAAATATGATCATTTAATTGTACTTAGTCACAAACTTTGTGTCCATTAGTATATTTACGAATCCCTCTAGTCTTCACTATATTAATATTTCCTGTTGCACTTTCATTTTATTATTATTTTTATGATTCTCAAATCAAAATTTTAGAATCTAAATACTTGGGTTGTTTCTTTTATTTTTTGTATCTGTTTAATGAAGAGAAATTTAGTGTGGTTTTTCACTTTAATTATAGA